CTGACCATTGAAAATTATGGAAGCACTGTACAGCTGTTTGATCCGCTAAGGGAAACATGAGCATTGCACATGGACAGAGCCCACTCGGAAACACGACCAAGGGTTGGGGTGAACGAATGTCAGTCGAACACCCAAACCACAAGGCTATCCGATATGGGTCTCAACGCTTTGTTCAACATATACAATACATGATATAGCACAATCATCAAATTGGCTTCGGCTTTCGCTTTCGCTTTAAACGGTAACAACCAAATTCTCGCACACCGATCCAATCCTATGTTCCATTACTTCTCTATTTATGGGCCTAAGTAAAACCAAGGCATTCCCTTATGAACAATCCCCACACAGATTGCTCATACAATGCAATAGAGCAGTAGCAGAGTAGATTTGTATAATATGATTCTCCATGCAGCTTGAACACTGAACTGACCATTGAAAATGATGAAAGCACTGTACAGCTGTTTGATCCGCTAAGGGAATCAGGAGCATTGCAAATGGACAGAGCCCACATGGGAACAATGTCCAAGGTTGGGGTGAACGAATGTCAGTCGAACACCCAAACCACAAGGCTATCCGATATGTGTCTGAATGCTTCGTTCAACATATCCAATACTTGATATAGCACAATCCCCAAATTGGCTTCGGCTTTCGCTTTCGCTTTGAACGGTAACAACCAAATTCTCGCACACCGATCCAATCCTACGTTCCATCACTTCTCTATTTATGGGCCTAGATAAAACCAAGGCATTCCCTTATGAACAATCCCCACACAGATTGCTCATACAATGCAATAGAGCAGTAGCAGAGTAGATTTGTATAATATGATTCTCCATGCAGCTTGAACACTGAACTGACCACTGGAAATTATGGAAGCACTGTACAGCTGTTTGATCCGCTAAGGGAATCATGAGCATTGCACATGGACAGAGCCCACTCGGAGACACGAACAAGGGTTGGGCTGAACGAATGTCAGTCGAACACCCAAACCACAAGGCTATCCGATATGGGTCTCAAAGCTTTGTTCAACATATACACTACATGATATAGCACAATCCCCAAATTGGCTTCGGCTTTCGCTTTCGCTTTGAACGGTAACAACCAAATTCTCGCACACCGATCCAATCCTATGTTCCATCACTTCTCTATTTATGGGCCTAAGTAAAACCAAGGCATTCCCTTATGAACAATCCCCACACAGATTGCTCATACAATGCAATAGAGCAGTAGCAATGTAGATTTGTATAATATGATTCTCCATGCAGCTTGAACACTGAACTGAGCACTGGAAATTATGGAAGCACTGTGCAGCTGTTTGATCCGCTAAGGGAATCATGAGCATTGCACATGGACAGAGCCCACTCCGAGACACGAACAAGGGTTGGGGTGAACGATTGACAGTCGAACACCCAAACCACAAGCCTATCCGATATGGGTCTCAACGCTTTTTTCAACATATACAATACATGATATAGCACAATCCCCAAATTGGCTTCGGATTTCGCTTTCGCTTTGAACGGTAACAACCAAATTCTCGCACACCGATCCAATCCTATGTTCCATCACTTCTCCATTTATGTGCCTGAGTAAAACCCAGGCATTCTCTTATGAACAATCCCCACACAGATTGCTCATACAATGCAATAGAGCAGTAGCAGAGTAGATTTGTATAATATGATTCTCCATGCAGCTTGAACACTGAACTGACCACTGGAAATTATGGAAGCACTGTACAGCTGTTTGATCCGCTAAGGGAATCATGAGCATTGCACATGGACAGAGCCCACTCGGAGACACGAACAAGGGTTGGGGTGAACGAATGTCAGTCGAACACCCAAACCACAAGGCTATCCGATATCGGTCTCAACGCTTTGTTCAACATATACAATACATGATATAGCACAATCCCCAAATTGGATTCGGCTTTGGTTTCGCTTTGAACGGTAACAACCAAATTCTCGCACACCGATCCAATCCTATGTTCCATCACTTCTCTATTTATGGGCCTAAGTAAAACCAGGGCATTCCCTTATGAACAATCCCCACACAGATTGCTCATACAATGCAATAGAGCAGTAGCAGAGTAGATTTATATAATATGATTCTCCATGCAGCTTGAACACTGAACTGACCATTGAAAATGATGGAAGCACTGTGCAGCTGTTTGATCCGCTAAGGGAATCATGAGCATTGCACATGGACAGAGCCCACTCCGAGACACGAACAAGGGTTGGGGTGAACGATTGACAGTCGAACACCCAAACCACAAGCCTATCCGATATGGGTCTCAACGCTTTTTTCAACATATACAATACATGATATAGCACAATCCCCAAATTGGCTTCGGATTTCGCTTTCGCTTTGAACGGTAACAACCAAATTCTCGCACACCGATCCAATCCTATGTTCCATCACTTCTCCATTTATGTGCCTGAGTAAAACCCAGGCATTCTCTTATGAACAATCCCCACACAAATTGCTCATACAGTGCAATAGAGCAGTAGCAGAGTAGATTTGTATAATATGATTCTCCATGCAGCTTGAACACTGAACTGACCATTGAAAATTATGGAAGCACTGTACAGCTGTTTGATCCGCTAAGGGAATCATGAGCATTGCACTTGGACAGAGCCCACTCGGAAACACGACCAAGGGTTGGGGTGAACGAATGTCAGTCGAACACCCAAACCACAAGGCTATCCGATATGGGTATCAACGCTTTGTTCAACATATACACTACATGATATAGCACAATCATCAAATTGGCTTCGGCTTTCGCTTTCGCTTTAAACGGTAACAACCAAATTATCGCACACCGATCCAATCCTATGTTCCATCACTTCTCTAATTATGGGCCTAAATAAAACCAAGGCATTCCCTTATGAACAATCCCCACACAGATTGCTCATACAATGCAATAGAGCAGTAGCAGAGTAGATTTGTATAATATGATTCTCCATGCAGCTTGAACACTGAACTGACCATTGAAAATTATGGAAGCACTGTACAGCTGTTTGATCCGCTAAGGGAATCAGGAGCATTGCAAATGGACAGAGCCCACATGGGAACAATGTCCAAGGTTGGGGTGAACGAATGTCAGTCGAACACCCAAACCACAAGGCTATCCGATATGTGTCTGAATGCTTCGTTCAACATATACAATACTTGATATAGCACAATCCCCAAATTGGCTTCGGCTTTCGCTTTCGCTTTGAACGGTAACAACCAAATTCTCGCACACCGATCCAATCCTACGTTCCATCACTTCTCTATTTATGGGCCTAGATAAAACCAAGGCATTCCCTTATGAACAATCCACACAGATTGCTCATACAATGCAATAGAGCAGTAGCAGAGTAGATTTGTATAATATGAATCTCCATGTAGCTTGAACACTGAACTGACCACTGGAAATTATGGAAGCACTGTACAGCTGTTTGATCCGCTAAGGGAATCATGAGCATTAAACATGGACAGAACCCACTCGGAGACACGAACAAGGGTTGGGGTGAACGAATGTCAGTCGAACACCCAATCCACAAGGCTATCCGATATCGGTCTCAACGCTTTGTTCAACATATACACTACATGATATAGCACAATCCCCACATTGGATTCGGCTTTGCTTTCGCTTTGAACGGTAACAACCAAATTCTCGCACGCCGATCCAATCCTATGTTCCATCACTTCTCTATTTATGGGCCTAAGTAAAACCAAGGCATTCGTTTATGAACAATCCCCACACAGATTGCTCATACAATGCAATAGAGCAGTAGCAGATTAGATTTGTATATTATGATTCTCCATGCAGCTTGAACACTGAACTGACCATTCATCATCATCTTCATCGTACAGCGTTAAACAATAGGGCAAGCCCCACTGACCACTGCCTTTCTCGCCATGTTGCACGTTGAATTAGAAAGTATGAATATACAAGATGGACAGGGACTGGACCTACACGGGTGGGAAAAGGAAAGAATGCCCTAGTAGCCAACACACGGAATACACATTCTAACTGTACAGACGTACACCGATCAAACATTCTGATTCGATAGAAAGTGACAACACGATCGCCACTGTTCGCGGTTCGCAGCCATATCCTTCAGTGTCTCCAGCCAACTGGTAGACGGATATTTTGGACCCCAACCACGAAGACGTGAAGCACCTACTTTTCCTAAGTCTGCTGTACATTTTCTCATTCCTCGTTGCCACGTCATCTGTTGACCTCCACGTGGTCTCTTTCACTCCCTAGGAGGAACGGAGAATAGGACACGGTACGGTAGACGTGTGTTTGCCATACGTAACACGGTTCCCAACCAACGAAGTCTACTAAGTTGGATACGCTGTGACAAAAGGTTCTCTGAATTAGTACCCAATACTCGCTTTCTGACCTCATCGTTGCTTACTCGGCTATTCCACCCAATCCTGGCGATACTACGTAAACATCGATGGTCGAAAACCTCAAGACGACGAATATCTTCAGCCCGCAGACTCCAAGTTTCGCAACCGTACAACAAAACTGAACGCACAGTGGCACAGTATACACGACCTTTCAACTTCAGTGAAATATCAGGTCGGCGCCACAAGTGCTTCAGTCCAGCGTACGCCACTCGAGCTTTGGATATCCGCGTACTCACCTCTACTACTGTGCTCCCATCCGTCGTCACGCAGCTACCGAGGTAGGTGAAGTGGTCGACAACTGACAGCACCTCCCCATCGAGCATCAAGCTCGGAATTGTTGACGTCCAGTCTTGTAACATCACCTTGCACTTTGAAGGTGCAAAGCGCATGCCGAATGGGGCTACAGCCCTTGCGAGATTATCTAGTGCACGTTGAGCATGTTCCGTGGATTCGAACAAGCAGACAACGTCGTCTGCGTAATCTAAGTCACATAGCTTTTCACTATCTCCTAGTTCGACCCCTACATCCTGAAGATTTTGCAGCCCACTCTCCATTATTTCGTCCATGACGAAGTTGAACAGGAATGGAGACAAAGGGCATCCCTACCGAACACCACTGGTCGTTTCGAACCGACCGGATAGTTCGCCGTAAACTCTAACGCGGCCAGAAGTATGAGAATACAATGATCTCAGTAGGTTCACGAACTTCTGGGGCATACCTTTTCGATGAAGAGTACTGAAAAGCGATGTTCGATCAACTGAATCGAAGGCGCCTTTCAGGTCTAAGAAAAGCATTATTGTTGGTCGGCGGTGCGTGTGACGCTTTTCAAGAAGTCGGCGAAGAGTAAAAATCTGGTCGATGCATCCTCGACCTGGGCGGAATCCAGCCTGCTGTTCGCGGACATTCCTCTCGCGAGCCGGTGTAAGACGGTGCAGCAAAATCGAAGCTAATACTTTGGTGACTATCGGGATTAAGCTAATCCCACGATAATTACTGCAGTCATTGCGTATTCCCTTCTTGAAGATGGGAACAATCAATGACTCGCTCCATATTAACGGAATACGCTCCTCCTTCCAAATGTCACGGAGCAAGGCGGTTAGTGATTTTATCAACGCCTCACCACCCAGTTTGAAAAGAACTGGGGGAAGTTCGTCGGGACCTGCCGCTTTCCCCCGCCTTAGTAATCGAATACATGACTCTACTTCTACTTCTGATGGGGGCTCAAGTGATACCACCCAAGGAGTCACAGTTGTTGACACGGGAGTAATTACACTAGCGTGCGGCCAGCTAAACTGTTCCTTGAAGTACTCGGCCCATCGGTCAAGCCTTTGCTGTTTGTTATGGATGGGTTCTCCATTCCTATTGCAAATCGCTTCACTGACCTGAGTTCGCCGTCCACTGGTGTCACGAATAAGTTTGAACAGTCTTTGACTGTTACCTGAAGCAGCTGCCACTTCCATTTCTTCGGCTACATTGACCCACCAATTTTCGCGATCCTTCTTAAGGCTTCGTGTAACTTGTCTTTGCAGCTTTCTCCGCATCTTATTCATCTCCTTACGGTTCGAGAGCTGACGCTTTTGCTCCATTATACTCAGCGACTCTTGCGAGATCCAGTGTCTTTGATGGACAACGGATCCAGGACCACAGGCAAAACCTGCTGCAACGTGCATCGCCTGTTTGATATGAGACCAATGCTCATCTACATTACTGTTCTCCGTGGATCCTAGCTCATGTGCTAACTTCTGCTCATAACGGGTGCAAACGTCTGGATCACACAAACGTTGCACGGCTAATCCGGTTTGCGGTTTGCGACGATGGCCATGGAGCTGGAGAGATAATCGCATTAAAACTAAGGCATGGTCCGACTCTACGTACGTGGACCAGTAGGATCTACAGTTCTGAACAGAACTGCGCCACCGGTAGCTTACGGCAATATGGTCAATTTGACTAAAAGTACCTGTAGAGTTAGAGCGCCATGTCGCTGTGCGACGCGAGCTGTGTCGGAAATTTGTGCTAGACAAGAACAATCGATTGTCTGCACAAAATTGGAGAAGCCTATCCCCGTTATCTGTGCGCTCAGCGGGTAAAGCACAACGCCCACCTAAACAGGCTTCTGACACACTGAGTTTGCCAACTTGTGCATTGAAGTCACCAGCTAGCACTACAATGTCGGAACCTTTACTGCTGCGAACGAGAGTGGCGAGGGCATCATAGAACTCATCTTTCTGCAAGTCTGAGCTGCAGTCCGTTGGGGCGTACGCCGAGATCACGAACAAATTGCGTTTAACACAACTATCCTTTCGAACGCCGACTGACCCTTGGAGTCTCACAGCACATAAACGACTGTTAACAGGGATCCAGTCTAATAGGGCAGCCTCAGCCTTGTCAGTCAAGACAATTCCTACACCACGTTGACCCACAGCCCTAGCTGCTTCGTCTCCTGAGGTGCGCAGAATATACCTCGTTGAGATACCTGGAGCAGTTAGCTGAATTACATTGCTCGAATCCTGGATACGCGTTTCGCTTAAGCAGCAAACATCAATCTTCAGAGAGTTCATTGTGAGGGCTAGGCACGCCTGCTGACCGACCTGCATCAGTGTACGCACGTTGAAGGAGCCGAAATTCAGAGGCTGACGGGGCTTGAGAAAATGTGAGTTACCAGTCAGAGGATTATTCCCGACACTATTTGACAGTGAATCGTTGCGAGTATCGACCGTGTTATCAATGGGAGCATTATGGGTGGATAGATGGGGCAAAGAGGGATGGTTAGGGACAGAAGACAAAGGTTGAATAACAGAGAGGGAACTCTGAGCAGTAGCACACTTATCACTACCCACCCCGATCGATGCAATGGGCAGCGCGGTCCTGATTAGCCTGCGCGACGACCGATGCAGTATGGAATTCTTTTTAGTCGTGCAGTTCATGGGAGATGTTGGACGGGTACTGCTAGGGTGTCCAGCCACAAAGCAGGAGAACGATTAGGGTCCTCATCCAAAGCCTTTAGTTCTGACAAGAACCTATCCAAAAGGCAGCGGGATGGCTTAGTGGAAGCCCATTTGCTTGGATCAATTATTCTTCCACTGGTTTTTCCGACTGAGTTGCCAGCTCAAATCAACCCCCAACCTGGAGGACCAGGAGACTGGACTTCGTCTGACCGCTACCCATTGACCTGTCAGGTATGATTGCATCTCCGGCTTAAGGAAGCCATCCTGTATAGCTCTTTGGGTCATAGAGGCGCGCAAGCCATCACACCACGTCAAGGTGCAGTCTCGTCGTGATGGCCATTGGAAATTATGGAAGCACTGTACAGCTGTTTGATCCGCTAAGGGAATCATGAGCATTGCACATGGACAGAACCCACTCGGAGACACGAACAAGGGTTGGGGTGAACGAATGTCAGTCGAACACCCAAACCACAAGCCTATCCGATATGGGTCTCAACGCTTTGTTCAACATATACAATACATGATATAGCACAATCCCCAAATTGGCTTCGGCTTTCGCTTTCGCTTTGAACGGTAACAACCAAATTCTCGCACACCGATCCAATCCTATGTTCCATCACTTCTCTATTTATGGGCCTAAGTAAAACCAAGGCATTCCCTTATGAACAATCCCCACACAGATTGCTCATACAATGCAATAGAGCAGTTGCAGAGTAGATTTGTATAATATGATTCACCATGCAGCTTGAACACTGAACTGACCACTGGAAATGATGGAAGCACTGTACAGCTGTTTGATCCGCTAAGGGAATCATGAGCATTGCACATGGACAGAACCCACTCGGAGACACAAACAAGGGTTGGGGTGAACGAATGTCAGTCGAACACCCAAACCACAAGCCTATCCCATATGGGTCTCAACGCTTTGTTCAACATATACAATACATGATAAAGCACAATCCCCAAATTGGCTTCGGATTTCGCTTTCGCTTTGAACGGTAACAACCAAATTCTCGCACACCGATCCAATCCTATGTTCCATCACTTCTCTATTTATGGGCCTAAGTAAAACCAAGGCATTCCCTTATGAACAATCCCCACACAGATTGCTCATACAATGCAATAGAGCAGTTGCAGAGTAGATTTGTATAATATGATTCACCATGCAGCTTGAACACTGAACTGACCATTGAAAATGATGGAAGCACTGTACAGCTGTTTGATCCGCTAAGGGAATCATGAGCATTGCACATGGACAGAACCCACTCGGAGACACGAACAAGGGTTGGGGTGAACGAATGTCAGTCGAACACTCAAACCACAAGCCTATCCGATATGGGTCTCAACGCTTTGTTCAACATATACACTACATGATATAGCACAATCCCCAAATTGGATTCGGCTTTCGCTTTCGCTTTGAACGGTAACAACCAAATTCTCGCACACCGATCCAATCCTATGTTCCATCACTTCTCTATTTATGGGCCTAAGTAAAACCAAGGCATTCCCTTATGAACAATCCCCAAACAGATTGCTCATACAATGCAATAGAGCAGTAGCAGAGTAGATTTGTATAATATGATTCTCCATGCAGCTTGAACACTGAACTGACCATTGAAAATTATGGAAGCACTGTACAGCTGTTTGATCCGCTAAGGGAATCATGAGCATTGCACATGGACAGAGCCCACACGAGGACACGAACAAGGGTTGGGGTGAACGAATGTCAGTCGAACACCCAAACCACAAGGCTATCCGATATGGGTCTCAACGCTTTGTTCAACATATACACTACATGATATAGCACAATCCCCAAATTGGCTTCGGCTTTCGCTTTCGCTTTGAACGGTAACAACCAAATTCTCGCACACCGATCCAATCCTATGTTCCATCACTTCTCTATTTATGGGCCTAAGTAAAACCAAGGCATTCCCTTATGAACAATCCACACAGATTGCTCATACAATGCAATAGAGCAGTAGCAGAGTAGATTTGTATAATTTGATTCTCCATGCAGCTTGAACACTGAACTGACCATTGAAAATTATGGATGCACTGTACAGCTGTTTGATCCGCTAAGGGAATCATGAGCATTGCACATGGACAGATCCCACTCGGAGACACGAACAAGGGTTGGGGTGAACGAATGTCAGTCGAACACCCAAACCACAAGCCTATCCGATATGGGTCTCAACGCTTTGTTCAACATATACAATACATGATATAGCACAATCCCCAAATTGGATTCGGCTTTCGCTTTTGCTTTGAACGGTAACAACCAAATTCTCGCACACCGATCCAATCCTATGTTACATCACTTCTCTATTTATGGGCCTAAGTAAAACCAAGGCATTCCCTTATGAACAATCCCCACACAGATTGCTCATACAATGCAATAGAGCAGTAGCAGAGTAGATTTGTATAATATGATTCTCCATGCAGCTTGAACACTGAACTGACCATTGAAAATTATGGAAGCACTGTACAGCTGTTTGATCCGCTAAGGGAATCATGAGCATTGCACATGAACAGAGCCCACTCGGAGACACGAACAAGGGTTGGGGTGAACGAATGTCAGTCGAACACCCAAACCACAAGGCTATCCGATATGGGTCTCAACGCTTTGTTCAACATATACAATACATGATATAGCACAATCCTCAAATTGGCTTCGGCTTTCGCTTTCGCTTTGAACGGTAACAACCAAATTCTCGCACACCGATCCAATCCTATGTTCCATCACTTCGCTATTTATGGGCCTAAGTAAAACCAACGCATTCCCTAATGAAAAATCGACACAGATTGCTCATACAATGCAATAGAGCAGTAGCAGAGTAGATTTGTATAATATGATACTCCATGCAGCTTGAACACTGAACTGACCATTGAAAATGATGGAAGCACTGTACAGCTGTTTGATCCGCTAAGGGAATCACGAGCATTGCACATGGACAGAACCCACTCGGAGACACAAACAAGGGTTGGGGTGAACGAATGTCAGTCGAACACCCAAAGCACAAGGCTATCCGATATGGGTCTCAACGCTTTGTTCAACATATACAATACATGATATAGCACAATCCCCAAATTGGCTTCGGATTTCGCTTTCGCTTTGAACGGTAACAACCAAATTCTCGCACACCGATCCAATCCTATGTTCCATTACTTATCTATTTATGGGCCTAAGTAAAACCAACGCATTCCCTTATGAACAATCCACACAGATTGCTCATACAATGCAATAGAGCAGTAGCAATGTAGATTTGTATAATATGATTCTCCATGCAGCTTGAACACTGAACTGACCATTGAAAATGATGGAAGCACTGTACAGCTGTTTGATCCGCTAAGGGAATCATGAGCATTGCACATGGACAGAACCCACTCGGAGACACAAACAAGGGTTGGGGTGAACGAATGTCAGTCGAACACCCAAACCACGAGGCTATCCGATATGGGTCTCAACGCTTTGTTCAACATATACAATACAGGATATAGCACAATCCCCAAATTGGCTTCGGATTTCGCTCTCGCTTTGAACGGTAACAACCAAATTCTCGCACACCGATCCAATCCTATGTTCCATCACTTCTCTATTTATGGGCCTAAATAAAACCAAGGCATTCCCTTATGAACAATCCCCACACAGATTGCTCATACAATGCAATAGAGCAGTAGCAGAGTAGATTTGTATATTATGATTCTCCATGCAGCTTGAACACTGAACTGACCATTGAAAATTATGGAAGCACTGTACAGCTGTTTGATCCGCTAAGGGAATCATGAGCATTGCACATGGACAGAACCCACTCGGAGACACAAACAAGGGTTGGGGTGAACGAATGTCAGTCGAACACCCAAACCACAAGGCTATACCATATGGGTCTCAACGCTTTGTTCAACATATACACTACATGATATAGCACAATCCTCAAATTGGCTTCGGCTTTCGCTTTCGCTTTGAACGGTAACAACCAAATTATCGCACACCGATCCAATCCTATGTTACATCACTTCTCTATTTATGGGCCTAAGTAAAACCAAGGCATTCCCTTATGAACAATCCCCACACAGATTGCTCATACAATGCAATAGAGCAGTAGCAGAGTGGATTTGTATAATATGATTCTCCATGCAGCTTGAACACTGAACTGACCATTGAAAATTATGGAAGCACTGTACAGCTGTTTGATCCGCTAAGGGAATCACGAGCATTGCACATGGACAGAGCCCACTCGGAGACACCAACATTGGTTGGGGTGAACGAATGTCAGTCGAACACCCAAACCACAAGGCTATCCCATATGGGTCTCAAAGCTTTGTTCAACATATACAATACATGATATAGCACAATCCCCAAATTGGCTTCGGCTTTCGCTTTCGCTTTGAACGGTAACAACCAAATTCTCGCACACCGATCCAATCCTATGTTCCATCACTTCTCTATTTATGGGCCTAAGTAAAACCAAGGCATTCCCTTATGAACAATCCACACAGATTGCTCATAAAATGCAATAGAGCAGTAGCAGAGTAGATTTGTATAATTTGATTCTCCATGCAGCTTGAACACTGAACTGACCATTGAAAATTATGGAAGCACTGTACAGCTGTTTGATCCGCTAAGGGAATCATGAGCATTGCACATGGACAGAACCCACTCGGAGACACGAACAAGGGTTGGGGTGAACGAATGTCAGTCGAACACCCAAACCACAAGCCTATCCGATATGGGTCTCAACGCTTTGTTCAACATATACAATACATGATATAGCACAATCCCCAAATTGGATTCGGCTTTCGCTTTCGCATGGAACGGTAACAACCAAATTCTCGCACACCGATCCAATCCTATGTTCCATCACTTCGCTATTTATGGGCCTAAGTAAAACCAACGCATTCCCTAATGAACAATCCACACAGATTGCTCATACAATGCAATAGAGCAGTAGCAGAGTAGATTTGTATAATATGATACTCCA